GTCCTCGAAATGGGGTTGGGGTGACGGAAAGGATTTTTTTCCAAACACTAATTGTTTGTGTATTAGCAAACGATGTATATATGGGTTTGCGATGCATTGCGACTTGAAATCAAGATATTGGGATTGGACTTGTCAATCGATTCATAACCTCTCGGGCACAATCAATATATATTCAAAGCCCCTTTACTTGCATGAGTACATCTTGGATCTGTCAATTATATTATGGTCGGAGTACCACTCACAGTAAGCTGGTCGAATTAAGAGAAGCTGTAGGTATTATTGCGGGTCAATCAATTGGAGAACCGGGAACTCAACTAACATTATGAACTTTTCATATTAGTGGAGTATTCACAGGCGGTTTCGCAGAACATGTACGAGCTCCTTCTAATAGGAAAATCAAATTCAATGAGGATTTAGTTCATCCCACTCATACACGTCATGGACATCTTGCTTTTCTATGCCATATAGACCTGCATGTAACTATTGAGAGTCAGGATATTATACATAAAGTGAATATTCCACCAAAAAGTTTTCTTTTGGTTCAAAATGATCAATATGTAGAATCAGAACAAGTGATTGCTGAGATTTACGCTGGAACATCCACTTTAAAGGTGAGGGTTCAAAAAATATTTATTCTGACTCAAAGGGAGAGATGCACTGGAGTATTAATGTGTACCATACACCCGAATATACACATGGTAATGGTAATGTTTATCTATTACCCAAAACAAGTCATTTATGGGTATTATCAGGTAATCCATGCAGATCGAGTATAGTGCCTTTTCCACTCCACAAGGATCAAGAACAAATGAATGTTCAATCTCTTTATGTTGAAGAGAGATATATTTATGACCTCTCGATGGATAATGATCGAGTGAGACACAAATTGTTTGGGTGGGATCAAAAAAAGGCGGCGGTTTCTTATTATTCAGGACCTGATCGAATCATATCCAACAGGAACTGAGATTCCACATATCTTCTTATTCTCCACGAGAATTCCGATTTATTGGCGAAGAGGCGAAGAAATAGATTCATCATGCCATTCCAATATGATCAAGAGTAGTAGAAGGAACTAAGGCCTCCTGTTATCGTGATTAAAATAACCATAAAAGGTATTTTACGTAGAAATAGTATTCTTGCCTATTTCGACGATCCCCGATACATAAGAAGTAGTTCAGGAATTACCAAATATGGGACAATAGAAGTTGATTCGATAATAAAAAAAGAATATTTAATTGAATATCGAAAGACAAGAGAGTTTGGACCAAAATACCATATCCCAATCAAAGTAAATCGATTTTTTTTCATCCCTGAAGAATTGCATATCTTACCTAGATCTTCGTCCATAATGGTATGGAATAATAGTATCATTGGAGTAGATACACGAATCACTTTGAATATAAGAAGTCAAGTAGGCGGCATGGTCCAAATGGAGAAAAAAAAAACAAGGATTGAATTGAAAATATCTTCTGGAGATATCCATTTTCCAGGAGAGACGGATAATATATCCCGGTACAGCGGCATCTTGCTACCACCTGGAAGGATAAAAAACACGGAATCAAAATTCAAAAATTGGATCTATGTCCAACGGATCATACCTATCAAGAAAAAGTATTTTGTTTTAGTTCGACCCATAGTGACATATGAAATCACCGATGGGATAAATCTATCAACATTTTTTCCCCAGGATCTATTGCAGGAAAAGAATAATTTGCATCTACGAGTTGTCAATTATATTATTTATGGAGATGGCAAACCCATTCGAGGAATTTTTCACAAATGCATTCAATTAGTTCGGACTTGCTTAGTATTGAATTGGGATCAATACCGGGATGGTTCTATAGAAGAAGAAGAGGCTTATACTTCCCTCCTTGAAGTAAGGGTAAACGATCTAATTCGAAATTTTATAAGAATTGATTTGGTGAAGTCTCCTATTTAGTCTACTGAAAAGGAGAATGATATGGTAGGTTTAGGATTGATTTCTAATAATGAATCAGATCGCATCAATACCAATCCTTTTTTTTCAAGGCGAAGACTCAATCACTTAGCCAACATCAAGGATTTATTCGTACATTGCTGAATAGAAATAAGGAAGGCCAAGACGAATATCTTATAGTTTTGTTATCATCCAATTTTCTCGAATTGGTCCATTGAATGGTTCGAAATATCACAATGTGAAAAAAGAATCAATTCAAGAGGATCCCATGATTTCAATTAGGAATTCATTGGGTCCATTAGGGACTGTACCTAACATTTTGAATTTTTCCTCATCTTATCATTCAATAACTCATAATGAGATCTTGTTAAATAAATGTTTACTACCTGACAATTCAATAGAGACTTTCCTAGTACCTAAATCTTATTTAATGGATGAGAATAGAAGGATTTATAATCTTGATCCATGCAGTAACATCATTTTGACTCCATTCAATTTTAATTGGTGCTTTCCCCATCATGATTATTGGGAAGATACATCAACAATAATTAGCCTTGAATAGTTTCTTTGTGAAAATATGTATATATCCAAAGACGGACCATGCGTAAAATGTGGTCAAATTATAATTGTTCATGTTGACTCTTTAGTAATAGGATTAGCTAAGTACCATTTGGCTACCCGTGGAGAAACCGTTCATGATTATTATGGAGAAATCCTTTACGAGGGAGATACATTAGTTACTTTTATATATGAAAAATCAAGATCTAGTGATATAACTCAAGGTTTTCCAAAAGTTGAACAATGTTAGAAGTTTTTTCGATTGATTTAATATCGATGAACCTAGAAAAGAGGGTTGAAGGCTAGAACGAATGCATAACATGATTTCTTGGAATTCCCTGGGAATTCTTTATTAGTGTTTAGCTAACCATACTGCAAAGTCGTATCTCTTTGGTTAACAAGATCCAAAAGGTTTATCAATCACAGGTTGTGCAGATCCATAATAGGCATGTAGAAACTATTGTACGACAAATAACATCAAAAGTCTTGGTTTCAGAAGATGGAATGTCTAATGTTTTTTCACCCAGAGAACTAATCGGATTGTTGCGAGCAGAAAGAATAGGTCGTGCTTTGGAAGAAGATATATGTTCCTGAGCTATTCTACTGGGAATAACAAGGGCATCTCTGAATACTCAAAGTTTCTTATCAAAAGCGAGTTTTCAAGAAATGACTCGGGTTTTAGCGAAACCCGCTCTCCGAGGTCGTATTGATTGGTTGAAAGGCCGGAAAGAGAATGTTGCTCTGGGGGGATGATACCTGTTGATATCAGATTCAAAGGATTCGTAACAACTACATTTCTTTGGAAATAAAAACGAAGAATCTATTCGATGGGAAGATGAGAGATATTTTGTTCTACCATAGAGAATTTTGTGGTTCATGCATCCCAAAGAATTTTCATGATACATCAAAACAATCATTCTGTGGGATTTAATGATTCATAAGAGAGGATTCATTATTTTATATATATTATATTATACAGTTACCGATTATACAGTCGTTTGATAATGAATTTAATTTAATTTCAATTTAATAAGGACTAGAAAGGAAGGAATAGCTTGTATCAACGGTCCATCCTCGGTAGAAGGTTATGTAGGAACAATTCTATATTTCAGATTTCAAGGTACCTCATTCCTGAAAAAAAAAAAGAGGTAGTGTGGATAGAAATGGCAATAAGATATTGGGACATCAATTTGGAAGATATGATAGGAGTAGGGGTTCATTTTAGTCATAGTACTAGGAAATGGAATCCTAGAATGGTACCTTATAACTCTGGAAAGCGTAAAGGCATTCATATTACAAATCTTACTAGAACTGGTCATTCTTTATCAGAAGCCTGCTATTTAGTTTTTTATGCAGCAAGTAGAGGAAAGCACTTCTTAATAGTAGGTATGAAAAATAAAGCAGTAGATTCAGTAGCATCAGCTGCAATAAGGGCTCGATGTCATTATGTCAATAAAAAATGGCTTGGTCGTATGTCAACGAATTGGTCCACTCCAGAAACAAGACTTCATAAGTTCAAGGACTTCAAAGCAGAACAAAAGATGGGTCGATTTAATCGTCTACCGAAAAGAGATTCGGCAATGTTGAAGAGACAATTATCTCACTTGCAAACATATCTGGGCGGGATCAAATATATGACGGGGTTACCCGATAATGTAATCATCATGGATCACCAAGAAGAATATACGACTATTAGGGAATGCCTCACTTTGGGTATTCCAATGATTTGTTTAATCGATACAAATTGTGATCCAGATGTCGCAGATATTCCGATTCCAGCCAACGATGACGCTATAGCTTCAATCCAATTGATCCTAAACAAATTAGTATTGGCAATTCGTGAGGGTCATTATAGCTATCTAGGAAGTTATTGACTAAAAATAAGATAAGTCAATTATAATAAGATAAGTCAATTATTTCCGTAAATCAAGGATTTATTGAATCGGTTACTATTCCTTAATCTAGAAAAAGAGATTCAAATCATTAGTCATGATATATGATTACTTCTTACTAGGTATCTGGAATATACTATGCAATTAAAGTAAAGTCAAACCAAAGTCAAAGCCAAAGTAGGACAGTAGAGAAAGAGATGAATGAATCAAAATAATTCCTTCTTAACTTAAGTTTCATTTTTGTCAAGGGGTAATATGAATGTTTTACCATGTTCCATCAACACACTAAAAGGGATATATGATCTATCCGGTGTGGAATAGGCCAACATTTCTATTGGCAAATTGGGGGTTTCCATGTCCATGCCCAAGTACTTATAACTTCTTGGGTCGTAATTGCTATCTTATTAGGTTCAGCCACTATAGTTGTTCGGAATCCACAAACCATTCCGACCGATGGTCAGAATTTCTTTGAATATGTGATTGAATTCATTCGAGACTTGACCAAAACTCAGATTGGAGAAGAATAATATGGTCCCTGGGTTCCCTTGATTGGAACTATGTTTCTATTTATTTTTGTTTCTAATTGGTTCGACACTATTTTACCTCAGAAAATCATGGAGTTACCTCAGGGGGAGTTAGCTGCACCTACAAATGATATAAATACTATTGTTGCTTTAACTTTACCCACGTCAGTGGCATATTTCTATGCAAGTATTAGCAAGAAAGGATTGGTTATTTCCGTAAATATATTCAACCAACTCCCATACTTTTATCATTAATACCTTAGAAGATCTGATAAAACCTTTATGGCCTTTTTGGGAATATATTGGCTGATGAATTAGTAGTTATTGTTCTTGTTTCTTTAGTCCCTTCATTGGTTCCTATACCTGTCATGTTCCTCGGATTATTCACAAGTGGTATTCAAGCTTTGATTTTTGTAACTTTAGCCGCGACTTATATAGGCGAATCTATGGAGGGTCATCATTGAATAACTTTCAAAATCAATCACAATCAAAACAATCATTCTTAAAATAAAAATGAAAAAGTCTGTTAATGTTATTCCAATTCATGGATGGCTAAAGATACCACTTGGGGTTGGGGAACATGATAGATACGACAGTCTACGGTACATACAATATAAAATGGTAGAAAGATATATATAAGATATTACAAAATTCTGAAAGCAAACAAAAAGGAAAAACCCCAAAAAGTCTTTTTCCTAAGATCCCCATTTGTCCCATTCATGTCATAATTTGAATAACGATTGTTATCTGTTTGCGACATGCGACAAAAAAGAAAGAACTTACTTCTACTTCCATGTATATGTAACCATTAACCGTTCTCATTTCATTTGGTTTCTTTTTATTCATTCAACGATTGATCGAAAATTGTAATTAATTGCAATTGGATACTTTGAATTTTTATGTGTGACGATTCAAGCTATGGATCTGTCCGTTGTATTCGTGTGTTGATAAAGAAAAGGAGGAGTTTACGAATACGAATAAGATTCAAAGTGGGATAGGAATGATTCTAGGATACGATCCAATTCTATAAAATCCAATTCTATTCTATATAAGACTAAGATGCGGATGGTTTACATTATCGAAGAGATACATGTATATGTGTTGTTAGATACTCATTAGTCATTACTTATATATGGACTATCCGTTATGGACTATCCATATAGTGTCATTTTCTATTTCCCACTTCCCATCAAACCAAATTATAGATTCCGATATAAGCACTTCCTGTAACTATGGATTGAATGACTAAACAGATCAAATAAAATCAATCAAATCATATGCATATAAAGGAGAAAGAGCGAAGAATTGAAAGAAAGGTTCTGGAACAGAACAAAGAAATAGAAGAACTAGAACCAAATGGATTTCCATCTGACAGTAATACCATCATTTCAATTCAGAGTTATTAGTTACTTCGATCATATGGATCTTAGTTATGGAATAATTAGCAATAAAATAAAAATAATTAATTAGTTGATTGTATCATTAACCATTTCTTAATTTTGGTATGAATCCCCTTATTTTTGTTGCTTCTGTTATTGCTACTGGATTGGTTGTAGGACTTGCCTCTATTGGACTTAGAGTCAGTCAAGGTACTGTTGCGGGTAAAGCTGTAGAGGGTATTACGAGACAACAAGAAATAGAGGGTAAAATACAAGGTACTTTATTGCTTAGCCTGGCTTTTATGGCAGCTTTAACAATTTATGGACTGGTCGTGGCATTAACGCTTTTCTTTGTGAATCCCTTTGTTTACTCCTAAAAATACATAATATACCTATTACCTTGGACTTGCCACTTCTTCGAATTATATCAACACTTCACTCTACAATAAATTATTCATTTTGAGACAATCACCCCCGGGGTAAAGATTGATTCGAGGAATTAGCAGATCCGCTCGTTCTCTTCCTTCCCGCTCTTCGTCCAAAGGAAACAACTTTTCGAAGTGTTGCAACGTGCGAGGTATTTCCAAAATGATACGAGACCCGAGACCTAACCTAACCTACTAAAGTATCTTATCGGGAACTTCAATTAAATAAAAATAAGATATGGGCTGAAGTGATACAAAAAGAACTTTGTTTGGTTTTGTTAGTCCTATCTAGAAGAGGAGAGTATATGAAAAATGTAACCGACTCTTTCTTTTCCTTGGGCCACTAGCCATCTGTCAGAAGTTTCGGATTTAATACCGATATTTTTGCAACAAATCCAATAAATCTAAGTGTGGTGCTTGGTGTGTTGATTTTTTTCGGAATGGGAGTGTATGCGAGTTGTTTATTTCAAGAATAGGTTGGATCCTACCAGCTGCACTTTACTCGTTCTCATTTATATTAGAATTATATATTTTATTTTTTTATTTTACTTAAGAAAACTATAAAATAAAAGAAAATCTTAAAATCTCATTTTTATATTTTTTTTCTTTTTAAAATTTTACATAATTAATTCTAAATTAGATTAGAATTCCTTTTCTTAAATTTTATTAATTTTTAGAATTTATGTAATTTATTTTTTTTATTTCTTATTTTATTTGTATTTGAGTCCCTTTTATTTTTCAATAGATTTTCTTGTATCTTTTATTTGATCTTTTACTTTTTTATTTTATTTATAAATTTCTATTCTATTTTAGATGGATATTCTATCATTTTATATTTAGATATTATTTCTAATCTAAAAATAAAATAATTCTAAAATTATAGAATAATTCTAAAATTATAGAATAATTCTAAAATTATAGAATAATTCTAAAATAAAAGAATAATTCTAAAATTATAAAATAATTCTAAAATTATAAAATAATTCTCGTATAGGCAAAGGAAATATGACTGCTTTACCAATAGTTGGGACTCAATCTGGGGACGTTTCGGCTTATATTCCCACTAATGTAATTTCCATTATAGATGGACAAATCTTCTTATCTGCCGATCTATTCAATGTTGGAATCCTGCCTGTTATTAATGTGGGTATTTATGTTTCCAGAGTAGGATCAGCAGCTCAAATTAAAGCTATGAAACAAGTAGCTCAATTTGCAGAGTTAGAAGCCTTTGCACAATTTGCTTCTGATCTCAATAAAGCTACTCAGAATCAATTGACAAGAGGTCAACGATTGCGCGAGTTGCTCAAGCAATCCCAAGCAGCCCCTCTCGTGGTGGAAAAACAGATAGTTACTATTTATACAGGAGCGAATGGGTATCTTGATCCATTAGAAATTGGACAAGTGAAGAAATTTCGCATTTAGTTATGTATTTATTTAAGAAAAAATAAACCTCAATTCCAAGAAATCATATCTTCTACCCGAACATTCACTGAAGAAGCAGAAGCCACTCTCAAAGAAGCTATTCAGGAACAAATATAACTGTTTCTATTTCAAGAACAAACATAAATCAATGAATTCATTGATTATTTTGAGGTGTATTTTAGTACAATATGAATCGTTGAGAAAGATCTCTATTTCTGATTTGAATCATTCAAAATTTGTTTCCAATCGAAACAAAAAAATAGATGCAAATAAATTGCATCCAATAGGATTTGAACCTATACCAAAGGTTTAGAAGACCTCGATCCTACCATTAGACAATGGATGCTTTTGATTCTGATTCTCTTCTTTCCCTCCCATTCCTCTTTTCCCATCATCTCTTCAGATAAAACCATAATCCAATTGATTGTATTCCATGCGAGAACCTTATGGAATAAGGATGTATATAAAGATCAATGATCTATCATGTATTGAGGGATATGTAGGGAGCAGGCAGCGGGAATCGAACCCTCATCATTAGCTTGGAAGGCTAGGGGTTATAGTCGACGCTAATTCATCATTTTTAACGTCTCTAATTCAAAATCGAGCACGAAACTTTGGTTTCATTTGGCTCCTTTATGAAGATGGATAGATTCTCACTACATAAAGCAAGGAAACTATTTAAAAAATATATATATCTTTTGATGGATGGAAAAGAAGGGAGTTCTAGCAAATCCGAATTTATTTTATTCAATCCATAACATCTATGTCATCTTTTCTGTCTGAATGTGTCCACAAATACTCGCTTTCTAGATGATCCCTTTAAAAGAGAGAGGGATTTGAACAAATACTTAGGAAAAGAATCCTGAGGAAAAGATTTTATTTCCACCGAGCCAAAACTACATGCTGATGCCCCTAGTAAACTACAGTCATAATTGAATAGCTATTTGGCTTCAATCTCTCCTTTATAAAAATTGAAGATTTAGTTATGATTAGAAATAGATTTTTGTATCTTCATCCATGGTTCCCTTACTCATTCTCATTCAATTGGAAGGACGAATCCAGCTAAAACTAAAAACAATTATGCTTTGCAATTCCATAATCCAAACAATCTTTTTATTTTTTATTTTTTTTATTTATATTTCCCTTTGAATACATATCACGACAATGTATATTTTTTCCTCAATAGTGGCATTTACGGGAAAGGATTCAATCCTTTTAAGAAATAAATTTTTTTTATCATAATAGGAATCAAACCGAGGGACCCTTAAATTTTTTGTTTGGTAACAGAATGAATCACACTTTTACCACTAAACTACAACTGCTACAAAGTAATTAGTGTATAAGAATGGATCGTTTGTCGAACTAAGACATGTGGAATAAGAAAAATAAAAATTTGAGTTCTGATGTGTCCTCAGGGGTATTTGATTAAAGAGAAGAAGAAATAAACCTAAGATTTCAAAAAGACAAGATAAGAAAGTAATTCATTTTTTGTTGAAGGAGCCCTTACTGAAAGCTATGATGGAACCATTGAAGCCGGAACAAGAAATTAGTTGTGCAAGAATTCATTGCTCCATTTCATGGAACTTCCCTTTGATTTTCTTTTCTTTTATATTTTATCAAAAAATGCTTTTTTTTATCAAGATTGGGACTTGAATCGTATGTATCTTTTCTTCCGTCTTCTCCCTCTTTGGATTCTTATGAATTCGGATCAGTTGGACCTATTTTCGTACTTCCATTATCTTCTTACTTCTTACCCTTACTGAAAATTTTCATTTCAAATGGAATTTCCTTTCCTTTACATTTATACATTCACTTACTACTTATTTACTTTACTTAATACTTAATTTAAGTTATATGTATTAATTTATATGTATTTTTTAATATGAAATTGAATATTTCAAATCTTATTTACACCTATATCCTAATACTATTAGTATACTGCTCTCTAATTAGAATTAGATTTCTTACTTTATAAGTAATAAGTAATTACTTTACAGTAAACAATCAATAAGAATATAAAATAAATATAAATAACTTTAAATAATAATAAATAAGAACTTTATTTTATCTTAAATTTTAACTTAAAAGTAAAAGAATCAAAAGATGATATGAATATTTTTTATAATATTAATATTCGAATTGAAATTTTATTTTTCTTTAATTATAATATAAATAGAATATCAAGAAATTCTATATTCTAATTTAGAATAATTAGAATTCAGGAATTCATTTTTTATCAATTAATTAATTATTAGAATTTCTTTTCTACATAGATCTATTCTTCCTATTATTCCATATATATTCTATTATTTCCATATAATGTTATATATATATTA